GTCCCTACTGGTATCACAATAGACATCAAATCGCTACTTCCATCACAGTGCATCATCTTCATTAGGGTTCTGCAATTCATCACTTCTTGTTTCAGAAAGATTTCTTTTCCACTATTATTCCCAATTTCTCATGTTATTAATTTCTCCTCCTTTGCTAGAAGCTTATCTTCTGCTTGAAAATACACTGTTACTTCTAATCAGCACTTGAATCTCAGGTCTGACTGCTTAGCATTATGTTCTGCTGGGACACAGCTTCTTACACACACAAACACACGTCTCACAGACCATCCCAAAATGTCCTTCTGCATCTCTTTTCACTAGAGGGAGTTACAAAAAAACACTTTTTCCTGTTGGAGTCATCACCATCTTGCCAAATAACAGTGCCCAGGCATTTACTTATTTCAGATTAATTGTTGAGTTTAGAGGAGAGGAAAAAAATAAAGGGGGATGGACTGACATTGGATCTCAAACCCAACATTTTCCTCTTAATGAAAATGTTTCCTGATAAAATCTCTTTAGAAAGCAAAGGATCATTCATTCTCGTTTCATGAAATCTGAGGCAAAAGTGCATTAAGTATCACGCTTTTGAGTTTTGTTATTTTAGGGGACACAAACTATGGTCCACGGGCCAAATCCAGCTTGCTCCCTATTTTTGTATAATCTGTTACCTATTATGGTTTTCAATTTATTTCATTAACATTTTTATCAGCATATATTATACATTTTAATGGGGGCATGGCACAAAGTTGAGCAGATGAACACAGCATGAGCTGAAATAATCAGCACCAGCATTATTTTTTTATAATTTTAAGTAGTTAAAAGAACAAAATAAATATTTTAAGGTGTGAAAAGTCTATAAAATTCATTTTCAGCTATCTATAATAAAGGGTCATTGGAACACAGTTAATGTTAGCTGGTTATGTGCTGTATGGTTAACTGGACACAACAGCAGTTACTATTAGTAGCTGTGTTAGAGATTGTACAGTCTGAAAAGTTGAAAATACTTACTCCTTGGGTTTTTAGAGTAACTGTTTTCCAAGTCTCAAGCTAGATATTATGAAATGCTTCCTATCTAAGATAGTAAAGTAGCCTTTAATATTTAATTATTCACATCTACCCAATTGTAGAGGCAATATTTGAAATTAGATGAATTTCTTTGTCGCTCATGGCTGAAGCTGGCTACGATGCACTTCCTTTCCCTCTGGGCATCTCTCATCCCTCATGTGTATCATCACCATGATGGGAGAGGGTGCCTCCTTCACCTTTCTAGGTCACGGGTGAACACACAACACTTCCTGTGCTGATTATTTGTAAAAATAAAGTTTAACAAGACAAAAGCATATTAACAAGACTGTAAAAATTGGCAGATGAATAGATGACACATACTGATCAGATAGTTCTAAGGAAACACTTTATCTGTCCTTTTCTTGGAGCATCTGCCTGCGTGTTCTACGAAGAGGTCATCGCTTTCCCTAGCACCTGGATGTTTCCTCTACCTTGCAGTCTAAATTCAAGAACAGTTTCATACTAGAAGAAATATAGGGTTGCCAGGTTCCTGTACTGGGGCTTTTCTCTGATGGCACTAATCTGGGGACTGTCTTGTTATTTGAAAGGCAGATTTATAGAAAGAAGAAGAGACAACGATCTTCCCAAATGGCCACAGTGGCTGGAGCTGAGGTGATACAAAGGCAGGAAGCAGGAGCTTCTTCTAGATTTCCCACATGGGCAGGGATTCAAGGACCTAAGCCATCTTCTGCTGCTTTCCCTGGTCGTATGTAGAAAGCTGGATGGGAAAGTGGAGTATCTGGGACTCGAACCAGCACCCATACGGGGTACCAGCAGTGAGGACGGAGGCATTAGCCTACTACACCAAGGTGCCAGCTCCTGGGATTGTCTTCAGTCAAGCAGTGTGATGTTTTCCCTCCTTCCCTTTACCAAGTGGTCTTTTAAAAAATGTTCCTCCTGAAGCTGCATGACAGGAGTGCCTCTAAAGCCATATGAAAGGCTGCAAGGAGTAAAGAATGCTCTAAAGAGGGCTGAAATGATGCACACAAGGTGCCCACCCTGCCAGCAGAAGCTACATTCCTCTCAGTTTTGAGAAACAAAGGCTGCCAAGAAAGAGCTCAGTCACAAATCATTCAGTTTTAGACAATATCTAAAAAAAAAAAAAAAAAAAGGCTTACTAAAAGGAAGAAGTGTTAAAAAAAATTCACACCTTTCAGACTGACATCAGTTGGTGCTTCATAAAGAAACTGATGACAGAAACAGCGGTAAGGGGTGAAAACCATGCAGCTTAGAGGAAAAGGGACCATGTAACAGCCCACAGAAAGATCAAACACAGCCAGGGAAGCTGCAGACACTGAGCAGAAGTTAGCAGAGCCTGATAAATGTGGCGTGTTAGAGGATACGGGTCTCTTTATGAATGTCCACAATTAATCCAAGCATGCCATCTTCCCCGGTTCAAATTATAGCCATTCACCAGTTCATAACTAGTTCATAACTAGTTGCTGTACTCTTTATAACAATGGTAGTTTGTTTTATAGGTATAAGAAAGCTACAGTCCTGTCTTGATTTAATTTGATTCAGCAGGTAAACACATGGTGAAATAAGTCATTACCAAAGTGAATTAAGATGATAAGAATTCACAGACCAGGTTCTCTATAGTTTAGTTTATTGTGATATAACTTAAGTATTTCTCAGCCTATTTATTAACCTGGACTTTGATATAACTTATGGCCCATTTTCAAATATTTTATTCGACTACATATGAACAAAATCTAATCCGTGAAGTATTATTTACAAAAATACAACACTTACACCACTTGGCAAAGCCATTGTCTGCAAAGACCTCATCCTATATAGGTGCTGGTTCAAATCTTGGCTGTTCCACTTCCGATCCAGCTCCCAGCTAATATGTCTAGAAAATAGCAGAGGATGGCCCAAGTACATGGGACCCAGCACCTATGTGGTAAATCTGGAGGAAACTCCTGTGTCTTAGCTTTAGACTGGCTCAGATCTGGCCATTGCAGCCATTTGGGGAATCAATCACCAGATGGAAAGATTTCTTTCTCTCCTTCATTTTTCCCACCCTCTGTATTTACCCTTCTCTTGCTCTCTTTGTAACTCTGCCTTTCAAATTAAATAGATAAATATTTTTAAAGAATACAATACTTGCAGGCTGGTGCGTTAGCCTAGCGGCAAAAGTCCTTGCCTTGCACGTGCTGGGATCCCATATGGGTGCTGGTTCTAATACCGGCAACCTTGCTTCCCATCCAGCTCCCTGCTTGTGGCCTGGGAAAGCAGTCGAAGATGACCCTGTACCCATGTGAGGGACTAGGAAGAAGCTCCTGGCTCCTGGCTTCAGATCGGCTCCACTCTGGCCATTGTGGCTGCTTGGGGAGTGAATTGGTGGACGGAAGATCTTCCTCTCTCTCTCTCTCTTCATCTCTGTATTTCTGACTTTCCAATATAAATAAATAAATCTTTAAAAAAATGCAATACTTGGGCCCGGCACAGTGGCCTAGCAGCTAAAGTCCTCGCCTTGAACGCACTGAGATCCCATATGGGCGCTGGTTCTAGTCCCAGCAGCTCCACTTCCCATCCAGCTCCCTGCTTGTGGCATGGGAAAGCAGTTGAGGACAGCCCAGAGCTTTGGGACCCTGTACCTGTGTGGGAGACCTGGAAGAGGTTTCTGGTTCCCGGCTTCAGAGTGGCACAGCACTGGCCGTTGCGCTCACTTGGGGAGTGAATCATCGGACTGAAGATCTTCCTCTCTGTCTCTCCTCCTCTCTGTATATCTGACTTTGTAATGAAAATAAAATAAATCTTTAAAAAATGCAATGCTTGCATTAGGTATAATAGGAGGATAATAAGAATAAATTCCTGTATTGTAAAAGTGACAGGCAGAAAGGTGACTCACATTTAATTTAAATTTTATCATAACATGAGAGGTAATAAATAATTATTTGTTGGATAAATTCATCTTGATATTTTAAAAATAAATATATGTAATCTATATATAAAGACAAACAGAATACAGAATCATTCTCCACATTGTATACCTTTAAGTCCTTGAGAGTCATTGTTAAACCATCACTAAATGCCATCAGTTACCAAAACAATAGCTCACAGCATGAATTTAATCATACACACACCTCCACAAGTATTTAAGCCTTTTCACATAAACCTTACCAAAGCTCCAATAATAAGCAACAGTTATGCCAGTAATTTTTCCTCCAAGCCAAATTTAGAAAAGTTTTACATTATATCACCAATTGTGCTTTTAAAAACTAATATTCAGATGGTTATTTCTTGTGTCTCTAAAGATTTATTAGTATTGGCATAAAGTTTATGTAAACATTTCGTTCAATATGTTATTTCCTTATGTATCAACAAATGTCTTCCCAATATTAAGCATAAAAAAGTTATTAGACTGAAAAATATACTTGATATTGTCTTCATAGCTAAGGTTGGTATGATGGTGCCCATCAGAAGGACCTGAAGAAATACAACAGCATAATACCTGCTTGGAGAGAAATACAATACGGTAATATTTGAAGAGAGGACTGTTGGATGCCAACTTTTATGTGGAAACACTGTTACTGGAGTATACTTTCTTTCAAGATTTTGACATGTTTTTATAGTCCTATTAATTTGTATGCAATATAACAAATAAAATGTATCAAAAATTCACTACAAAAGGAAGGCAAGACAGCTATGGACAGTTTAGTGGAAGGAGAGAATTATTATAATAGTAAAGAGACAGGCACAAGGATCATGTCTGAGCATTATTTAAACTTGTAAGCAGCTTATGCTTGGTTTGACAGGGGGCAAACAGAAGGCCCTGGCCAGCTTTAGTCCCTAAGTTAATGTCAAATTTAAGTTGCTAATTCATGCATTCATGCTGTTTGATTTGGTACTAATGTGCAAGGAAATGATAACATCTTCGTCTCTCCTCTTTGAATATTTTAATTTCTACCCCGTGCCTTTTGGACACATACCTTCTTCTGGTGTTTGTGTTCTCAGTGGTTCACTCCAATCACTCCAGCTTCCCTGATTAGGATGCAACTTAGAAGAAACCTGAAATTCATAGTCTGTAAATGGCTTCAGATCCAGCAAATCATGTCTTCCTCTAGCATTTGTAACGTTGACCTTGTATCAGACGAAAATTTAAGAAGTGCTTATTAATGTTAATTTTAAGATAAAAAGAAAAAAATAGAGCCATTGACTCTTTATTTTCAGATCCACTATCCAATGCCAAAAATATAAATGACTTGGTTACTGAATATACATAATCTTAATCTGAAATGACAACCTCTCATTAAAAACAAAAACAAAAATAAAAATAGCATTTCCATGGACTAAGAACCTATCTGTGCTGGAGAGGGAGAAGGGGTTTTAAAACCAGTTGATAAATTGGTTGTTTTTCCTTCTCTCTCATTCTGCCTTCCACATAAGTATGTATATCTTAAAAAAAATAATAACTTCTGGTATAAAAATTTTGCAATTAGAGGTCAGTATACCTCCTAATAATTAGAGGTGTACATGGTTTTCTAACAGATTTCAAGTATAATTTTGAGCTAATTATTCATTTTTTAAAAATATTACATATTCTTATTTGAAAGGGAGAATTATAGAGAGAAGGAGAATCAGAAATCGTCCATCAACTGATTTACTCCCTCCCCCAACTACTGCAACAGCCCAAGATAGGCCAATCCAAAGCCTGGTCTTCCACATGGGTGCAGATCCTCAAGAACTTGGGCCATCCTTCACTGCTTTCTCAGACCATAAGTAGGGAGTTGCAGAAGGGGAGTAGCTGGGACACAGACCAGTGTTCATATGGGATGCGGTGATGTAGTTAGATGATAGACTCTCTATGTGACAGCAATGCCGGCCCCTGAGCTAAATATTCTCAAACCCCATATTTTCTGGGATGATAAGCCTGAGGTCTGCATAGCAATACCAAGAACCCTTGAATGTGTTGCACTCTCAAGGCCATTACCATTTTCCAGGACCTGCTGCTGCTGAGCCGATATCTGAGCCGATTAAGTAGCACCCATTCTTCATCTCTCCACTGAAGAATACATCTGCTCACAGAAGCATTTAGAAATATGATTCCAACGTCCCACGGAGGAAGAGGCCTCACTAGTAATCAGGACAAACAAAACAGTGTGATCCAGCTTCTACAACTGCCTGATGTGCTAATGCAAGCTATAAATAATTGACCAAATTAATTTCCAATACCTACAACCATTAAATTTGGTAAAGTAAGAGAGAGATTTCTGGCTCTTAGAAAGAGAAAAATGTTGATTTTGCTTCTAAATCATTAAAATAACTCCCATTGACCTAATCTTATTTTTCTAAATTACTACTGCTAACATTAATGAGACATCAAATACACTCAATCTAATGATTTGAAACTTAAGGTGAAGACAAAGTTGTGATGACTGAGAAGCCAGAAGTGGCTCACGGTGATTGTTTATGGAGGAGAAGAAATACTGATAGGAAAATTAAAAACAAATGGACAGAGGAACAAATGCAGAGAAGAAAAGAATAAGAAGGTGGTTTAGAAATGAGCAGGTCTGTGGAGAGATGGAGCTAGGATGGGGAGAGTCGTTAAAGCAAAGTGTGTAGTCTAGTGCTCTCTTCAGCAGCACAAATACCTAAACTGGAACAATTCAGAAAAGATTAGCATGGCCCCTGAGCAAGGTTGATATGCAAATTTGTGAAGTTTCATATTTTTTCATCATAAAAAAGAAAATGTGTAGTATAGGCCTAAGATCAAACACACTGAAGTGGGTATGCAAAGAGAAGCAGTGAGTGACAGACGGGAGACTCATACTGTGAGTCTGAACTTCAGGCAGGTCACAATCCTAGTCACACTGGATGGTTGGATCTTGGGATGCCTGAGATTGATTCAACAGGACCAATTATATTTGCTTCAAAATGTGGTAGAATTAGCTCAGTCTAGCTCCCAGGCTAGTCAGAAGGGTGGAGCAAAGTATCCTCACAAGATGTTTTAGTACTTGGTGAAGTTGTGCTTAGAGTTTGCAGCTAGTAGCTCTAGCCCGGCAGGTCTTCTGTAGCCTACTTCAGAAGAGTGGCAGTAGCCAAGAGGATGAAAGAACACTTCCTTCAAGAAGGGCCTATGCCAATCCTCTTGATTGACCTCACGGGACCCTCTCAGACAGATGGTATGATTGGCAGTGATACATTCATGGGATTTGAATCCAGACATTGTTATTTCTCTAATTGAGATTGATACTGAAGTTTTCATTTTGAACACCGGTCTGCTGGTATGAACTCTTCAACTCAAAACCCAGCAACTTCTATCTCTTTCCTATGCCTGTTGGCTATTTGCATCCACCTCTGTCCTTGAAACAATTCGGATTTGAGTCATCTAGAAAATAGTTTTCATGTGCCAATAAGCAACATCCATAAAAAGTAAAATAACTTCTACCTATGTCCAAGAATGTGAACATAGATGCAAGTGAAGAATTTCCAAGCATGTTGATGGCAGTAACCTTAACTATGAAACTGGATCCATGTAATTCAGGGGTTAGGTTGAATCCAAAGTCCAAATGATCACAATATTGATCATTGCATTGCTTTTTCCAATTCAAAATTTTTGGTCCATTTAACCTATAAACAAAAGATAATTGCGTTAAACAAGGTACTTTATGCATTACTTTCTCCTTTTGGTATCAAAGAACAAAACGTTCAGATACTTAAGATTCTAGACAGTTTTTAAAGATCAGTTTTGTTTCAATGGACTATGCCATGGGAATACTTATAAGTTATTGTTACAAATAGAACCATATTTCCCAGCCCTCCTTTTTGGGGAGTAAAATTGAGATTTTTAAATTATTGTTTGTATATATAAGTAATGATGCTTCTACTACTGGAAATCCTAAAATCCTGGCTGTCATCTTGGTTCTTTGGGGAATGTTTTAATCACTATTGAAAGGATCTATGGCCACTTTGGCAGTCCCTGGACATAAGTGTCAGCTCCCAGAAAAGCTGTGATCACTCAGGCTTCCTGGGTTCCTCTTACTCAGACAGTGTGAATCAGTTGGATCTTGGATGGGATAATGGCATTATTTCCCAAGAAACAGAATTTCCCAGATCTTTTATTTATTTATTTTTGACTCTCATATCGATCGACAGTGCTTTAAAAAGACACTCTAAGCTAACTTCCAAGCTAATAAAAACTGTAAGGAAGAATCTATAAATGCTGTCCCATGTTTCTGCAACTAACTGCAAAGTAGGCTAACCCTACTAAAGAAGGGAAGAACACTCAGAACTTGGATGTCCTGAAAAGAACTCAGAACAGACTCAAAATGTTAAGTCTTATATTTTTCATGAACAAACCAGTTTTAATTGATGAACACCAGAATTATTTTTAAGCAGTAGAGTGCTTCTCTCTGGTAAAACTTCGTTGTTAGATGTTTATAAATGTCATCAAAGAGACCTACAACTGTAAGTACAAATAGATTCTCACTCACTCTAAAGTGTACTTAGTATATAGATGGGTTTCTCGTCCTCTGTCCCAGGTGCAGACCACAGTCCCATGTTCTCCTTTCTGCATGCAAGACAAGCCTTGAGGCTGTTCTGGAACAACTTGAAAAACAAAGAGCAAAAACCACACTTTACCATTTGCCAATTAGATGGCAATACTTCTGTTAAGCCCCCAGTGGATGAGTCTGAAGCCTGAATTTTTTTCTCCTAATAACAATAATAACAGTGAACATAGACCAAACCCTAAATACCACACCCTGTGCTAAATGTTTAATGTGTAGTTCTTCTCAACTAGAAATTATAGCACCCCATGAAGCTGATACCATTGCTGTCTTAATTTTAACAAAGAGGAAACTAGGACTTAGAAAGGTTAAACTGGAAATTAGGACTTAGAAAGGTTGTCCAAATTTAAAAGATGATGAAGTAACACAATGTGGGTTCCAGCTCAGGAATGACTGATTTGAGCACAAACTTTTCACTAATACATTCTCACATGCTCCCTGGTATAGGACCTTCAGTGCTAGAACTCTGAAAGAATTATCAACAGGAAGTGATGACAATGCTAGTTGTAAAAATACAAGATAGACATGGTTCCTTCTAATGTAAGATGTGTATTTTATCTGAAGATTTATTTATTTATTTGAAAGGCAGAGTGAAAGGGAGGGAGGAAGGTGAAGAGAGATGGAGAGAGAGGAAGGGATAGATAGATAGATAGATAGATAGATAGATAGATAGATAGATAGATAGAGATCTTCCACCAAATAATTCTCTTCCCAAATGCTTGAAACAACCAAGGCTGTTTCTGCTGAGGTCGGGAGCTAGGACCCCCATTCTAGTTTCCTGAAGAGTTGCAGGGATCCAACTCTTAGGCCAGTTTCTGCTTTTCCCCAGATGAATTAGGTGGAAACAATCAGAAATGGAATGCCAGAATCACAAGCACTAGTTTAACATGCTGTGCCACAACACTGGCCCCTGGTATGTATTTTTAAATAAAACCATTTTATGGTTAAAATAAAGTTCAATGGCTCAGTGGCTAAGTCCTTGCCTTGTGCACTGGGATCCCATATGAGCACAGGTTCGTGTTCTGCTGTTCCACTTCCCATTCAGGTCCTGCTTGTGGCCAGGGAAAGCTATGGAGGATGTTTCAAAGGCTTGGGACCCTGCACCCACGTGGGAGACCTGTAAGAAGTTGTTGGCTTCAGGCTTCAGATCAGCTCAGCTCTGGCTGTTGTGGTCACTTGAGTTGTGAACCAGCAGAAAGAAGATCTTTTTCTCTGAAAATCTGCCTTTCCAATAAAGACAAATCTTTAAAAATAAAATAAAATAAAGATTCAAAGCTAAGAAATTCTCATATTTGAAAGAGGAGGAAATACTGTTTCTTAGTCAAACTTTTCTACCCTGTTACTGAGACTCCCCACACATAGATAGTTCTCTTGGGAGAAAGAAAAACAAGTGCAAGATTGATACTCCACATATTGTCTACAATGAAGAAGCTGTCATCAATAGAATATCTGTTTTTCTTTGACACGCATTGTAGGCATGGGCATAGTAATATCACTGTGAACCAATTAACTTCTTAGAATTGTAGTGTCATCTGTAAAATGGGTATAATTATATATCTAACTTACATAGTGTTAATAATATAATAACATCTTTTTTCTTAAAATGATATTTTTATTTGCATACACACATATGTACATGAATGTCTATATATCCTGGAATACTGTATACACATACTACACATGATTGAGTCAGGTAGAAACTTGCTTTTTTTGACTCACAAAATATTTCATTTTTATCTTAAGATATATTTTTAGACTTGACATTTTACAGAATGACTATAAATCACTGACATAAATTTAACCCAAACTCAAAGTATGTACGTGTCTTCTACACTCAGCTAACTATAATTACTTGTTTTGCCTTTACCCATGGTTTTATTAGCAATTTCTTAAATCTTGAAAAGAAAAGCATAAAAATTACAAGTAACGCTTCACAAAAATATAATCTCTTTAAAGCATCACTTCAAAGAACAGAGAAAAGTCAAGTGACAGCAACCTGTACATAAATCTCAAGATCTTATTTGTGAAAAACTGATATAATTATTGTAGAAAATGTAGCCCTGACTGGATGGCAGACACACTGAGGAGCTTTGATGACTACATACTGACACACTGATATGCTTTAAATATACTGACTTATCTTGATCTGGCTCACTACAGCAAAATATAACTGTAGTCTTTCAGTTTTTGATTGCTTAGTAATCTTTTAAAATTTCAAGAACTTTTGGCTTATATCTAAAATTTAATAAGGTAATCCTGGCTCTGTAAGTTTATATATATATGTATATATATATATAAAATCTTTTAAACTTGAATTATTTTGTTTTTCTGAAGCTGCAGTTATTCTTTTCCAAAAGATGTTACTACTGATTTATGGAGTCATTTGTTCTTGCTTCTATTATGAACATATATATATATATTATATAAATATATAAATATATATTCTATATATATTCTATATGTATATGCACACACATACACAAAGGGAAAACTGAATTGAGTAAATATTAATTTTTGTAGCTGTGGCTTAGGTTTCAAAGGCCAAAGGGAAGAGAGATGGAGAGAGAGGAAGGGATAGATAGATAGATAGATAGATAGATAGATAGATAGATAGAGATCTTCCACCAAATAATTCTCTTCCCAAATGCTTGAAACAACCAAGGCTGTTTCTGCTGAGGTCATCTAAGATGGCTTTTTGTTTTGTTTCATTGCCCCCTTTTCCCTCACACATTTTGCTTTTTAAAAAAAAATCTATTAGTAATAGTTACTACAAGTAAGGAAAATATATGATATTTGTCTTTTGGGACAACCATAATGGTTTCCAGTTGCACCCATTTTGTTGCAAAACACAGGATATCATTCTTTTTTTATGGCTGAGTAGTATAACAACCTTTTTTAATCTTGATGTATGTAACTATCTTTTATCCCTATGTGTTTTGTTTTTATTATTAACACAATTCCAACACTTCAGCAAAATATTCATTGATCACTGTTGAATGTATTTAGAATCTGGGGGCTGGAGGCGTTGTTACCGCTGTTTGTGATACCTACATCACATATCAGAGTGCCTGGGATTCAGTCTTGCCTCTGCTTCTGATTCAGCTTCCTGTTAATGTACCCTGGGGGCAGCACAAAATGGCTCAAGTACTTGGGTTCCTGCCATCCACGTGGGAGAACTGAATGGAGCTCCTGGCTCCTGGCTTCAGCTGGACTCAGCCTGACTCAGCTCAGGCTGTTGCCATCAGTTGGAGAGTATCAGGAGACAGAGGATTTCTCTGTCTCTCCTTCTCCATAACTCTGCATTTCAAATACATAAACCATTTAGAAAAAAAAGCCATTCAGAACCATCAGTAGTACAGTTTCAACTGCTTGAGGATCTTTCTCTTGAAATTTTTTGGCTTTCCAACAAGACATTTGCCTCCACACTTGATATACAGCTGTCATTCTGGGATTGGCCATCCTCAGTGACCCAGAAATTCTGTCTCCCATTTCCTGCATAGGATCTCCTGTGTCTCAGCACCAGGGATTCTTCTACATGGATGTAATTACTTGTGTTGGTAAAGCATAGCACCAAGAATTCCCTGGGCTAAGGGACAAGGGAGGAGATTTTGCGAGCCTGGCTGAGAATACCTACATTTTACCCTCACACTTGACTAATTGTTTTACCCTCACACTTGACTAATTGTTTTACTGAGTATAGAATATTATAAGTTAAGAAGGATTTTTATTCAGAATTTTGAAGCTACCCCATGGTTTCTGTATTCCAGATCATTGTTGAGAAGCCTAAAGCTATTTCTATTTTAGAATTATCATATAACACCCATTTCCTCTCTTGATTAGAACTTTCTCTTTGCTTCCTTTTTTCAGAATTCTCACAACAAAATGCTTTTGGAGGGTCTACTTCTATTAATTCTACTGGATTCCCAGAGTTCACACATTCTGCAAACTTTTGAGAAGGCTTCTTGAGTTATATTCCCAGTGATTCAGACTCCTTACTCTTCAGTATTATTCTTAAAAGTCCTTATGTTCCATACATTTATATTTCTCTAAATTTACATTTTGTATTTTATTTTGTTATTTTAAAAAGATTTACTATTATTATTATTTGTTATGCTTTCATCTTACTGGTTCACTTCCCAAATGATTCAACCCAGCTACATGTGGGTGGCAGGAATATAATTATTTGCGGTATCATTGCCGCCACCCAGCATCTGTACTCATTGGAATGAGGAGTTGGAGCCAACAATTGAAGTCAAGTACTTCTGAGTGAGATGGGAATATTGTAAGTGTTGTTCCAATTGCTAGGCTAAATGCATTTTCCCATATTGTTATATTTTTGTTGACATATAGGAGCAAGGAAGTAACTTAAAGATTGTGCATGTGTGTGATTGGTCATATGTGCGTATTTGAGTTGCAGGGCATTTGCTAAGTTTGAGTTTCATCGAAGGATGATCCGACTAGGTTTTTGGAGAACTCCTGTTTCAACATTTTTAGATATTTTCCTTTGGCCTGATCAGATTTATCAGAAATGATTTTCTATTCCGCTTTGAGGTGGATGCGGGTTTGAAGGGAGCTATGTGTACACATCCCTTCATCACTCTTGTTTAGAATGGAAACTCACCAATCACAGCAGAGGTTGGAGCTCCTTGTCTAGTGACCTCTGACATCAAGCCTCTATTCATGCCAGAGAGATGCCATCTGCGTACTTGGAAGGAATTTGAGAATCTAAATACTTTAGAAACAGACTTTGGACAGCATCTCCCATTTTCATTCTTACTCCCAGAAGTACAAGATGCCATCACTTTCTGAGTTTAAGAAAGCAGCTTCTGCATTAAATCAGGTTATAACTTGTATTTTTAGCTTCTCAGAATATGAATCTTATATTTTTACTTATAAGGCACAACTAAAGAGAGAAGGACAGAGAGAAAGAGAGATCTTTCATCCTCTGTTTCACTCTCAAAATGGCCACCATGGCCGGAGCTGAGATAATCCAAAGCCAGGAGTCAGGAGCTTCTTCCAGGTCTCCCATGTGGGTGCAGGGGCCCAAGGACTTAAGCCATTCTCCACTGTTTTCCTAGCCTACAAGCAGGGATCTGGATGAGAAGTGGAGCATCCAGGACTACAATTGGTGCCCGTAAGAGATGCCAGTGCTACAGGCTGAGGATTACCCTGTTGAGTACTGTGTCACCTCCTCAAAGTATTTTTTTATTTGTTTCTCCTATTTTTTTCTGACCTTGAGGGCTTGTATCACTTGAAAATTTTATTGTATCTTGGCTCTATGTCAGCAGCAATGAAAGTGTTCATCTGTTCAACCTGCCATTGTCACCTTAACTCCTTCCCAGGGTATTTTCATGAACAAATGAGATGAAACTTTTACATAATTAAACAGTACAACTTCTCTCCTTATTCCTGACAGTATGCAGAAAGTCTTATTTTAAAGACCTAAGCTTTCACCCATAATTGAAGTCAACTTTCTCAATCAGGAAGCTAGTGTTCCTCAGCTTAGGTAGAGACCATACAAGGAGATGCCAAACATCTGAATACAATAGCACAATAGCTGAGTCCAAGCAAAGAACATATATAAGAAATTCTGACAACTAAAATAGCTTATAATACAAGACATTGCCATGGTTGCTATCTATTACTTTCTTTTTTTTTTTTAAGATTTATTTTTATTATTTTTTCATTGGAAAGGCGGATATACAGAGAGGAGAGACATAGAGGAAGATCTTCCGTCCGATGATTCACTCCCCAAGTGAGCACAACGGGCCGATACTATGCCGATCCGAAGCCAGGAGCCTCTTCCGGGTCTCCCACAGGGTGCAGGTTCCCAAAGCTTTGGGACGTCCTCGACTGCTTTCCCAGGCCACAGGCAGGGAGCTGGAAGGGAAGCGGGGCCGCCGGGATTAGAACCGGCGCCCATATGGGATCCCGGGCGTGCTAGGCGAGGACCTTTAACCACTTGCGCCACCGCGCCGGGCCCGCTATCTATTACTTTCAAACTCCATTTATTGTAGGAAATAAAAAGTCTTAGAAAAGTGGTTTTCTGAAGCATCAACAGTCAAAGCATATATTGAAAATGGCCAGGCAAGATTTCGTTATTTTTATTGTTTTGTTTTAATAAATTGTTGTGGATCAATCATAGAAGCTTATGGATAGGTACTGGCTGGTTTTTATACAGTTTAGTTGAGCTCTTGGAAGCAGAGAAGCCCAAACATGACAAGAGGCCAAGAAGAAAAGGCTTGAAGACTTGCCTATTCTCAGTTCTGAAAAACTAGCTAACTTGATGACAGAATGCACCACGATATGAAAGGACCCTGGATTGCCACTTAGCACAGAAACATAAATGAGCTGATGACTCCCGGACTGACAACCATGAGCTGAGCACACTGGATGAACTCAAGATGCAATGTGTCTTTTCTTGGAATGACTGGCCAAACTCAGAAAAAAGTGCTGTTTCCAATCAATGTAAAGCTGTTAAACTTGCTCAAAGAGCAGCAGCTTATGTATTTATGGCTTGAACCTGTTGCACAAGCAATACTCTGCCTGCAGGTGCCACCCAACTTCACTGAACCATGGTGGACACCCTTGAGCATCTCTCTAGTCACAGATGCATCCATGAACATAGGATGGAACATTGAAAATGAAAAGGGTGGTAGCTCTCTAATATATGATAGCACAGATGTAAAAGCAAATGGAATTGCTTAGTACATCTGTAAGAGTACAAACTGCCAAGGCTGTTACTGATCCACTGCAAAGCAGAAATACCAGCAAAGCTGTGGACACCTGGAACTGAAATCACAGAGGTGAGACTAGCATAAATAGGAATTTAGATGTGACAAGATGGGGAAATACCTTGGTGATATATGCAGGTGCTCTGAGAATGAGGGAAGCAAAGAACAACTCTATTTTGAGAAGAAATTAATTTTGTCTATAATAATGTTTATATTTTCTTTTAAAGGAGTTGTGTACAGCTACCCAGCGTGATGCATGCATGAAGAAAAGAGTCCAGCTGGCTGTAACCACAGTCCTACAGCTTACAAAGAATGCTATCATCTTCATAACACATATGGAGAAACTGAGGCACAGAGAATTGAACTTGTCTGAGGTCAGACTGCTCGAGGCAGGGTTGAGACTTAAAGTCTATGCTTTTTCTACTGCAGGAGAGCCTAGCAGATCTGACAATACCTGACTCCTAAGTGCTGTGAAGAGGAGGACCTGAGATAGAAGAGGAGTACTAGAACTGGAATTGGTTGAAGCAATCTCCCCTCTAGTGATTTGTTTGGCTGCTTGCTTGACCTGCTGCTAAGTGCTTCTGGTAGTGCTACAGGAAAACTACCTTGCACCAATCATATCTTCCTTGGCAACAGGAAAGAGCTATCCACTTCTCCTGAGAAGAATCTCATTGAATGGCTTATCATCACCCCCATACATAATAAAACTGTGTCCTTGTAGCTTTGTCAGCCAGCTCGCCACAGGGATTCCCTCTAGTTTCAAACCTCTCAAATGCCACATGGAGCTCACCTGAAATTGCGGAGGCCCAAGGTTCCACAAACTTCCTCAGGGTCCATGCATGCTTACTGACAAGTGTGGGTGGCTCAGAGAAGCTGTGAGCCACTGGCTGCAAAGCTCAGGCAGGTGTCTGTTAGCTCACACTGCACATTATAGCAGATGCAGCAGATATCATCATAGTACTTACTTGCCAGCAGCTGCTTGGAGGGGCCAGTGATACAAACCAGAAGTGCAATAGGACTGATGTTCTGCAAACTATTGTCATGAGAGATAGTTAAATTCTTTCTTAACCTACTCATTACATTTCCATTCTTTCTGAGGATTTCCTCAAAAAAAAAAAAACCAAATTATTTTCTATTAAGTCTGTTAGGTCAGTAATGTTACTATGTTGTTTAAGTATGCATCACACAGCATTTCAGCTGGAGTCGGCATGTGGCACAGAGACATAGAGCTTAAGGCACTGCTTAGAATGCCTGCATCCCATAACAGAATCCCTGGGATGAAGTTCAGTCTCCACTTGTAATCCAGCTTCCTGCTAATACATACCTTGACAGGCAAAAGTTGCTGGGTCAAGTACTTAGGATTCTACCACCCTTTTGGGAGACCTGGCTAGAATTTCTGGTTCCTGATTTTGACCTGGACTGTTCCTAGCTGTTGTAGGTATTTGGGTAAAAAGAATCAGAGGCTGGAAAATCTCTCTCTCTCCTTCCCTATTGCTTTGAGTTTAAAATAATTAGGGCCTGGCACAATAGCCTAGTGGCTAAAGTCCTTGCCTTGCATGCACTGGGATCCCATACGGGTGCCTGGTCATGTACTGGCGGCCCCACTTCCCAGACAGCTCCCTACCTGTGCCCTGGGAAAGTAGTCGAGGACGGTCCAAAGCCTTGGGACCCTGCACCCATGTAGGAGACCCAAAATAAGCTCCTGGCTCCTGGCTTCGGATCAGCTGAGCTCTAGCTGTTGTGGCCAATTTGAGAGTGAATCAGCAGATGGAAGATCTTCCTCTCTGTCTCTCCTCCTCTCTGTGTATATCTGCCTTTCCAACAAAAATAAATAAATCTTTAAAATAAATAAATAAATAAAATAATTAAACCTTAAAATGCTTCAGTCAAAATATATGCTGATGGCCCAAGAAGGGTATGTCATCTAATACCATAGTTATTTTAGTTTATGTAACTACATTCTGTCATTTTTGTATAAGAGCTGAAGCAGCTAACACTGTTTCTCAGACAATAGCCCTATTGCTAACCAGCTGGTAATTATATTTGCTTTTGCTCCCTGCCTGGCTTACTCCTTCCTCTTTGCCTCCCCAGTATTATGCAAACTCCCTATCATCCCAAGCCCACAAAGTGTCAGTCTGTCAGTTTTGCTTTGTGCAGTTTTCTAGAGGACCAAAAAGCTAATAATTGTAAGTATAGTTTCCTATTAACCCCTGCTAAGTATAAGAACCATTGGTTGGAGGCAGACATAGATGAGGCAACCATGTTTCATGCATTAAGCTGGGGTGGCCAGGAGGTGCTCAGCTGTACATAGTCGCCCTGACCTGTATAAACTGACAACTTGTGGATTTTTCCCAGAAGATGTAACTATTTTTTTAAGTTGTTTTTTTTTCTCTCTCTCTCTTTTTAAAGTAGAGTTACAAACACACAGGGAGAGGGAGGGACAGAGAAAGACTTTCCATCCACTGATTTACTCCCCAAATGGTTACAGTGGCTGGAGTTGGGAGAGTCTGAAGCCAGAAGCCAGGAGCTTCTTCCAGGTCTCCCATGTGGGTACAGGGGCCCTAGCATGTGGAACATCTTCTGCTACTTTCCAAAGCACATAACCAGGAGCTGAATCAGAAGTGGAGCAGCCAGTACTAGAATCAGTGTCCATATAGGATGCCAGCACTGCAAACAGCAACTTTATTCATTGCGCCATGGTTTTGGATCCAGAAGATGCAGCTTTGAGCAAATTACCCTAAGTCAGAAAGGCATGAAGACCTAGCTGCAGAGATCAATTTTCCTACCACTGGAGTCCAAGGACATAAGGGTAATGGTCTTAGTGGAGGCCAATGAGAAAGAAGGAGCCTTATCAAGTGAATCTTTAAGTCTAATGAGGTCTGGATTTATTTTGAGCAACTCGTGTTACTGCCAAGATCAAATATTTCCAAGAGGCAAGAGTAGAACTCTGTTCTGCATTTAGTTGTCTACCTGGCACATGAAAAGCATCAGAAAGTTCAAGAATTTTTAGAAATTCAGAAAGGAATGCTCACCACCAACGGAGATCTCTGCCCCACAAATTTGAAGCTCATTCTCATTGATGCAGGCCAGCTTGCAGACAAACAAAGTTGTCCCCAGGGGAAGATCTGAGACTTGAGTAGTGAAGGAGTCACCATGGTGAAAACAGATTGTTCTGTTGAACTCGTAGAGGATCAGCCTGTTAAAACTGGAGGAGTTCTGGCAGCCTTTTTTGGGCTTCACAGTGCATGAAATATTGACAGTTGATCCAAGAGAAATTACATGTGAAGGCTTCACAGTCACATCTCCTCTCTTACACACATCTGCAACAATATACAAATGCAATACTCAGTAAGTTGTGGGGCAAGTATTTAATGAAATGGTTAGGGTCACATGTGCTTGGGTTGCACCCAATGCTTGAGTGCCTGAATTCAAGTTCCAACTCCACTTCCAATTTCAGCTTCCTGCTCCATGTGGAGCAATAAATGATGGATCCAGGTACTTGGATTCCTCTGCTGATATAGGAGAGAGATCTAGGTTGATTTCTGTGTTTTGGGCTTCAGCCTGGTCAATTACTGGCTATTTCTGGTATTTGGAGGAGAGGACATGAATCAGTGGATAAAGGAGCTGTGTGTGTGTGTGTGTTTAAAATAAAATGAAAAATAAAAACTGAGCATTGTGCAATTCCCCAGAGCAAGGTAAGATTAAACCCATCCAATCATGGATATAAAACAATTTACATTGCTCTGGTACTTTGTTGGTAATGCACAATGAAACAGATGATGACCATATTAAAATCAAACTGGATTTGAATTTAAATATGCATCCTTTCAAAAGCAGTAATACTACAACCAAAACTATTAATAGGAAAGTGATAAGAAAGTCGAGTTGGAAGAACATTCAGGAGCAGTTCCAGGAAAAACCAGCCTCTCTTAAATGCAAATTATTCACCAAACTGCTAAACAGGGCTTCCCAGAATAAATCACGTTGGTTTCCATCACTAGGTATGACATAAAATATTTCAGTACTCATACAAAGAAAAAAAAAAGACAGTTTCAAAAGATTATTGCAAACTTTAGGGACATATTAAGTAATAATTCCTTCTCTTTTGCTCTATTAGTGGCATAAAGTATGTGTAATATGCAACATTATTTTATAGTAGAGCAAAATATCAAGGGCTCTGGAACTAAAGGTGGAAATTTGGTCTACCTATGTCGTATTTTGGTATTCTTACAAAACGTTCAGACTGTAGGATAGAAGACCTATTATTCTGTGTGGTTAAATATGAAAGTACATGAATGAATCCTTTTAAATAGCGTTCTCTATACCATTTACAATATTTCGGTTGCTACTGTTATTTCAAAATGAGGTCCAGAAGTCTTTATATTAAATAAGAAAACTATTCAGAAACAGTAGTCAGTTCTCAGCAACTGCCAATGAAAGAACCTTAAATCACAGATTTCACTTTAAATTTTTCAGATGGATATAAAGTCTCCCCTGAAAGTCTTTTTTTTTTTGAGCAATTATGAGATTGTCAAGCTAACTACTATAGAAAGAAATTGACAAAAAGTTCTTTAAGTTAAACAAAGGGAATATTTAAAAAATCATTTGAAAGAAAAGTCTTCTCATCCTTACTTTCAAAACTATAATAAATTGTACCTCTCTTATTGACTAATATTTAGTTTCTGCTTCTTTGACCTTTTTTTTTTTTACTCTAATGGAACAGAAAGAACTAAACAAGTTTTCAACAAAAGCCAAAGAAAAAGAACCCATCCATATCCATACTTTTGTTAAACTATACCACAGTGTAAGCATGCATTCATGATGCCTGGCTGGGCTACCCAGCCAATTTCTGAAGGGAAAATGATATGACTGGACTCTTACATTAATCATCAGCATAAATTAAATAAAATGCATATGATTACTTATATAGAACCCAACTTCTTTACTTACATAAATAGAAGGTTGACTATAAAAGCCCAACTACCTTTAATATTTGCCACAAATGCCTAGTTCAGTTGTAACAAAGAATTTAAACCACAAATCCTCCTGTCAATTGTCTTATAGAAATAACTTACCTATTTTTGCTTTAATTGACAGCCACATGATTATAAGAACAATTGCCAATGAACATCCTCTAACGGCCATGAACAGTCCTCTCTGGAATACAACTGAGTATTCTACCTTGTAAAACAAGAAAACAAATTCATGTATGTTAAATAGATTCAGAAAACATTAGAAACAAAATTATTCAGAGGGTAAGGTTCCACTTTGTTTTTTTCCATAATGTTAAGATTGTGTTTGTGAAAAAGTGAAAAAGTGAAAAGTGAAGCGTCAGGCCCGGCGTGGTAGCCTAAAGGCTAAAGTCCTCTCTTTGCATATGGGCACCGGTTTGTGTCCCAGCTGCCCTACTTCCCATCTAACTCCCTGCTTGTGGCCTGGGAAAGTAGGCAAGGACAGCCCAAGGAATTAGGACCCTGCACCCATGCAGAAGACCCTGAAGAAACTCCTGGCTCCTGACTGAGGATCAACAACTCCAGCCGTTGTGGCCACTTGGGGAATGAATCAACAGATGGAAGATCTTTCTCTCTATATTTCTTTCTCTCTGTAAATTGGAGTTTATAGAAAAAAAGTAAATCTTTACAAAAGTGAAGTGTATATTTAAAATTAAAAATTCTTGGCTCTGTGTCAACCCCGTCCATCTCAGTGAAGTCTCTTCACGTCAACAAAGGATTGGAGCAATACATTGGTATCTTACTCGGCTTTGGCTGCTATGACAAAATACAAGAGACTGAATGGCCTACAAACATAAAAACTCTTTCTCCCAGTTCTGGAGGACTAGAGAGTCTGAGTTCAAGTACTAACAGACTGATGTCTGGTGAAGGCCCACTCTCTAACTAGTATGTAGTGATTCTGTTTGTGTCCTTATGTGGTTGGTGTGGCATGGCACCTGTCTGGGGTCTTTTTTTTGTGAGGATATCAATTCCACTCACGAAGGCTGTACCCTATGATTTAATTATTCTCAAAAGACTTTTCCTCATAACATCATTCATGTTGGGGCTAGAATTTTGACACATTAATATGGGGAGGATATAAATATTCATATCATAACAATGGGATTTAAATGCTTTTATATTTAAATATAAGGTCTCTTAACCTGCCTGAGCCTCAATCCTAAACAAAAATTGTTTTGCCAAATAGGACTGCATCACCATAGTCAAACAGAGTAGTCAAAGAATTTCTAATCCGATCATGTGATTCTGGGAAACGATAGATTAAAAGTGGTTCATGGGCCTGGATTGTGGTACAGCAACTTAAGCCGCTGCTTGTGATGCCTGTATCTCATGTGAGCACCAGTTCATGTCCATCTGCTTCTCTTCCAATCCACTTCCCTCCTAAAGCTAGGAGGGCAGCCGAAGATGGCTAAGGGCCATTTTTTGTGAAGAATACTAGCTTTTAAATATAAATCAGATCATGTTAGCTACTCCACAGCACTGCTGTTAGCACTAGGTCTGCGTTGCTGTTGGAATGAAATCCAAAGTCCTTTCCACAGCTCAGCCACTTCATAGCCTTACTTGTCATCTTGCCACCACAGTTGTCTCTGCTTCCTTGCATGGCTGCCTCTGCTCCCTTCACACTGACCCTCAGACTATTCCTGAAACAACACACGCTCTCAGTTGCCTGGAGGACTTTGTACCAACTATGTCATCTGCCAGAATCCTCCTCCCCTGCCTCTCAGTGTGCTTGATTCACGGACTTCGGGTCTTGGATCACATGATTTTTCTCTGTAGAGTCCTTTCCTGACCGCCTGTCCCTATCCTTCCCAGACCTTCCCTGAAGCAGTAGTTTCCCCTGATTGCTTTCAATTCATCATCTTGCTTATTGTCTTCGTGGAGCAAAATGTAACAGCTTTGCTTTCCTACACCCATTTTATTATTGTTATTTTATGATACAGTTCCATTACCTCCACCCCACACCCCCTCCCCCAACACACTGATTTCCCCTATATTATTATAATAGCATAGTTCTTCATAAACTGTCATAAGTCCTTTATCATTGGTATGGACAATGGCAGAGAGTCCAGAATCCTATTGTTAAGATAAAGTTAAGTTTCACTGGGAGCCCATTTTTGATCTGGAATTACAGATGCATACTGCACTGTATACTCACATTTGGATAAGATAATCTCCATTACACAGTTACTATACATCCCCCTTAAATGAAAAGCCACAAATCAAAATCAACAATAGGAGGAAAAATAGAAATTTACAATGCCATGAAGTTAAATAACATGCTACTGAATGGCTAATGTGCCTCTGAAAAACTGAAGAAGAAAATCAAGAACCTTCTTGACGAAAATGATGCAACTGTATATTCTATGAGTCAATGAATAATTAAACATAAAAAAAATTATTTTGAAAAAAAAATCCATGATATAGTTTCTGCTGATCTTTGTTGGTGAGACATGTCTCCTGCACACAACAGATAAATGGGTTTTGTTTTATTAATCAGGTCTACTAATCTATGATGTTTGGTTGATGAGTTTAAGCCATTTACAATCAGGGTTAGTATGAATAGGTGGTCACTTGGTCCTGTCATTTTAGCAATGAGTTCTTCATTGTTTGATTTAGTCTTCTATTGTTATTTTACCAGAATGTTCTTCACATTTCCTTTTGGTTTTGGTGGGTGCTATTCCTTTTCTCTGTCAAGAGAACATCTTAAAGCATCATTTGTAGGGCAGGTTTGGAAGAGGCATACTCTTTTAACTTTTCTTTACTGTGGAAGAATTTTATTTCATTTTCAAAGACAAAGGAAAGCTTTACTGGGTACATAATCCTGGCAGACAATTTTTTGCTTTTAGAATCTGGAATATGTCGCTCCATTCTATTCTTGCCTGTAGAGTTTCCTGTGAAAGGTCAGCTGTGAATCTGATTGCCTTTTCTCTGTATGTCAATTGATTTTTTTTCCATGAACACAGTTAAGAATATTTTCCTCATGTTTGATCGAGGAGAGCTTGATTATCATGTGTTGTGGTGAAGATTGCTTTTGGTCAGCTTTGTTGGGAGCTCTGTGCTTCTTCTGGATGTTGTTTCTCAATTCTTTCTCTGTATTAGAGAAATTTTCATTTATTATTTCATTGAATACAGTTTTAATCACAGATTCTCTTTCTGCAATTTATGGAACTCTCTTATCTCTTATATTTTAATAGTGTCTTTCAATTTCTGAATACTTTTTTCACTTGACCCATCTCTGCTTCCAGTTTTTTGATTGTTTCCCTATTGTGACAAGAAATATCTTCCAATTTTGAGATTCTTTTGTCTGCCTCCTTCATTCTATTATTGAGACTTTCCATTGAAACTCTTTCATTTCCAATAATTCAACTTGATTTTGTTTCAGTGTTTCTGTTTCCTGTGTGAATCTCTGAATTCTGTATCCTGCATTTTCTCAATTTCTTCCTCAGTTAACTTTGAGGTTAGCAAAGGCTTTTGCTCCTTTGCAGGGGAGTCTTCAGTAATATTAAATGTGCCTTTGTCTCTTCTTTTGCTCTTGGTCATTGTACTTCTGGTTCTCAGGCTCTTTTCCATAGGGCTGGTTTCTAAGCTGTGTCACCCACAGGTCTACAGCTTGATTTTACTTATTGTGTTTGGTATTTGGCTCTTTGTTTGCAGTCACTTGTGCTGCTTCCTCCAGTGAGTTGCAGGTTTGGGCTCTTGTATTAGGCTTCCACCATGGTCTCCAAAGCCCCAGCTCCTGGCTCACCACTTGCCTGTGCTGTTGCACCATTTTCTGTACAATCTTTCACCCATTTCTGGCTCAAGCAGTTTCCAGGATTAGAAACCTGCTGGATGTTAAGTCTGAGTGCTACCTGGACCTATTTTCACCAGTAGGATGCCAAAATTGGTATTATTTTTCCTTTGGGACCAGTGCAATGCACTGAGCTGGAAGTCAGTTTGCTCCCAATTCAGCAGATAAGCAGAGTCTGCCACACTGTACAAAATGGCATCTGATGTGCCACTCGTGGAGTTCTGGATCTGCTGACTAGTTAGGTCTGGGGCTACCTGGACCTATTTGGGGTGGAAGCTGCAAATTGCCACATCAGTGCAATACACTGAGCCAGAAATGAGTTTATTCCAAGCTCAGTGTTTGTGTAGTCCTATCCCACTTTGCCTTTGCCTCCCTACACAGAATGGTGCCCAATCCAGGTCTTGTGAAGGTCTGGGCTGTGAGATCCATCCTGTTCCCATACTGCCTATTTGGGATCTACTGCTGTGTCTCTGCCCCTGGTTGAAGCCAACAAATCAGCAGTATAGGAAGTTCTTTGCCTAGGTTACCTCCTGAGCTCCTGATAAACTCCCCTTCCTACCAGGCTGCTGGTGGAGCTCTGGCTACTGGTGAAGTTCAGTTCACCATTCGCTGACTGTTGCTCGGCTATCTGCAATGCCACATCGTTGTCCCTGCTGCTTTCCTGTGTCCGTCTCCAAGTGTCCCTCTGCATCAGCCTGTTCTCCCCTATTTCCTGGAATGTGCCCTCTCTGCTTCACCCTGGCTAGTGATGCCCCATCTGGTTAAACATGTCCTGACCCTATTCTGCCATTTTGATTCTCCAGCCTCATTTCTTAATCACTTGTTTGTTCTATATCTTCTGTACCATGATATAAGGCATCACAAAAGCAGCAATGCTGATCATCTTGATCACAGCTATATCCCAGCACTTAATGTTGAGAAAGAGCTAATACAACAAATACCTAGTGCAAGAAGGGGGAAAAGCCTTTAAGAGCTATAGAAAACTCCCTGCAAATAAACCTGAGGTAGGCAGAGCATGATTCACTTGATGATTTTGCTTTTAGTCCTGGAACTTGTGAAAATGTTACCTTTTAAAATTTTTATTAATATAAAAGAATAGATTCCATGTGTTTTATAGGTACCATTTTAAGATCAATATACTTCCCTTCCTTTCTTCCCTCCTTCTCTCCCTCACTCCTTCCCCTTCCTTCCTTTTATTTTTTCTTTAATATTTGCAAAAACATAATTACAGAACACTCAACAATCAAAGGGTTAATATACCACTAATCATAATATTCAACAAGTAACAAGCAGAGATTACAGTTCTATAGGCATATCAGGGGCTAAAAACAACAATCAAATCACAAAACATCTGTTTTGGTCCTATACATTTTTTGTAT